CTAAACCCTAAACCCTAAACCCTAAACCCTTACAACAAACTTGGATGAGTAAAATGGCCCCCAACCAGCGCGCGGCTTTTACCGACTGTTCGTTTCTCTGCAGAAATAAAAATGCAAAAATAAATTAATTAATTAAATAAATTAATTAATTAATTAATTTAATTTAATTAATCAATCAATTAATTAATTAATTAACAGTAAAGAAATTAATTAATTACTTAGTGAAAGCATATATATAGAAAGCAATTTCGCTCCACATGAAAGGTTAAAGCCTTAAACCTTAAACCCTAAACCCTAAACCTTAAACCCTAAACCCTAAACCCTAAACCCTAAACCCTAAACCCTAAACCCTAAACCCTAAACCCTAAACCCTACGCCCCAAACCCCACACCCCAAACTCCAAACACTGCACCCTAACCCCTAAACCCTAGCCCCTAACCCCTAACCCCTAAACCCTAAACCCTAAACCCTAAACCCAAACCCCTAAACCCTAGACCCTAAACCCTAAATCTTAAACCGTAAACCCAAACCCCTAAACCCTAAACCCTAAACCCTAAACCCAAACCCCTAAACCCTAAACCCAAACCCCTAAACCATAAACCCTAAACCCTAAACCCTAAACCCTAAACCCTACCTGTATATTCCATTCTTTCTCAATTTGTTTGTCGATGAAACAAAGAGAAAAAGGATAAACTTTTAAACCCAGGGGGCCGGTGTTGCAGAATAAATTGAATAACTGTCTTCTTAGCCTGAAATAAATGAATAAATGTTATTATTTATTTATTTGTTATTTATAATTTATGTATTAATCTATTTATTCATTGTTTATCGGTTTATTTATTATTTTAATTTATCATTCAACTTAATTTAAATTGTTATTAAATTCAATTATTTAATTTAGTTTATCAAGTAAGTTAATTTAATTTATCATTTAAGTTACGTTAATCTACTATTGAATTTAATTCAGTTTTATCTATTGTTTAATTTGATTTATTAATTATTTATTTTGTTATTTAATTTAATTTAATTTAATCTAAATTAAATTAAATTAAATAACAAAGCTTGGCTGTTTGATTAATTTGATTGGTTGAGTTTGTTAAAGTGCTTGAATTAATTAAAATTAAAAAGTTTAATTTAATTAATTAAATTAATTTCTTAAATGTATTAATGAATTAAAAGAAAATTAAATAGTTTGTTGGACACACTCAATTAGATAACTGCCAACAAATAAACAACTTGACATATTAATGAATTAATGAATTAATTAATTAATCAATTAATTAATTAAATGGTCTAATTAATCAATGATTTAATTAATCAAGGGTTTAATTGATTAATTTAATTAATTTAATTAATTAATTAATTGAAATAATTAATTAGGCAATAGAAGGATAAAAATAAATAAAGAAATAAAAGAAATAATTAATATGAAGATGCAACAAAACAAATAAATAAAATTTGAATCAAAAAATAAAAATTCAAAGTTTAAAATAGAAGCCAAAGAGAGGTGACAGAAATAAAAAGGAAAATAACAGAACAGGAATTCGAGAAGAAATTAGTAAAACAGAAATAAATAAGTAAACAAATAAATAAATAAATAAATAAATAAAATAAATAAAATAAATAAATTAAATAAATAAATAAATAAATAGATAAATAAATAAACAAAACAAATAAATAGATAAAGTGGATTTTATTACCAGGATGCCTTCTTGGGATCTGCTGCTGCTGCTGCTGCGTCTAGGCCGCAGCATTTAAAGAAGTTGAATTTTTTCTTAACAGGTTTAGCTGCTTCTTCTTCATCCTCTGCTGCTGCTGCTGCTGCTGCTGCTGCTGCTTCTTGCTGCCTGTCGATAGGGCTGTAGCCGCTGCTGCTGCTGCTGCTGCTGCTGCTGCCGTTTCTGCATTTGCTGCTTCTGCTGCTGCCGGTGCTCGGCGGGCGAACCGCGCCGTTCCTCCCATCGAGAATTGTCGCTGCTTCTGCTGCTGCGTCTTCAGCTGCTGCTGCTGCTGCTGCTGCTGCTGCTGCAGCCGGGCGGGTTGCTGCTTCCTCGGCAGCGGCGGCGTCTGCTGCTGGCGCCGCGCCTGCTGCTGCTGCGCCTTCTGCTGCTGCAGCAGCAGGCGGCAGCGCTGCTGTCACAGCATCGGGACAGTAAATGACCACTTCTCTGTTTCGAGAAACTGCAGCAGCAGCCAGCTCGTCTGCTGCTGGCAAAGGCCCGAAGCAAGAGCTCTGGGGAGAGTCTGCGTTTGAGGAGAAAAGAAAACTTGAATTTCGAGCTGCAGTGGTCAGATCTTTTTCCTTTTGGCGGAGCTCCACATCGCCCAAATGGACCATTGGTCACGCAGGCCCGGCCGGTGCAGGGAGCAGCAGAAGCCCGGGAAAACAGCCGAATCCAGCCGTTTAACGCCTAAACAATTGTTGTTTCGTGTTTAATTGGAGATTTTAATTAATTATGAGGAAAAAAACGGGAAAAAAGGAGCACATTTCGGCAACGAAAGTGCCAAGTTGAATTCCCGTGAAGAGAAACGAACAGCCACAGTGACACAGATCGCTGGCGCTGGCTCTCGCGGAATCCGCCACACTCTATTCTCCGGCTTTTGCAAATAAAAACATTAACGAATCCCAATTCAAATTTATGAGCCCAGTTTAGATGAAATAGACGCAAAACAAGCAGCAGCAGCAGCGGCAAGAGCCGCTGCTGCAGCACCGAAGCTGCTGCTGCTGCTGCTGCTGTGTGTGTCTGCTCTTTCCCCGAGTAAACCGCCCAAACTCCCCTTTTTTCTCATTTTCACCTCCCAAATGAACTTCAGTTGAATAATATTGTCAATTTAATTGCCAAAAGGACCCTTTGGCGGCCGCATTCCTCCGATATGCCACCTTTGCGCAGCTGCTGCCGCCTTTCCCTCCTGCTGTCAGCAAACTGCACAGGGCGGCCCGGGGGCGCTTTCTGTCCCTTCTAGCCCGCACAATTCGCCTTTTAAAACACATATAATTTAAATTTGCGAATTTTGGAAATCTAATTCAACAAAATCCAAAAAAGAATCGCAGAACACCAACGCATGCACTCCAGCAGCTCCCACAGCCCCACGTCCAGACACCCCCCAGCCAGCTCTAGCCCACTATGGCTAGCTGCAACTAGCTGCAGCTAGCAGCAACAAGCAGCAGCTAGCTGCCTCAGCTAGCCGTGGCTAGCGGCAGTTAGCAGCAGCTAGCTGCAGGCAGCTGCAGCTTGTTGGGTTCGACGTTGCGTCTGCTACCGCTCTCGCAGCTGCGGCCAGCAGCAGCAGCAGCAGCAGGAAGCTATTATCTGCAGCAAGTGTTTCTGGCTAGCTGGCGCTAGTTGCTGCTGCTAACTAAACTAAATCAGCAGCAAACGAACAGGCTACTGCAGCAGCAACAAAAACCCGCGAATGCTCCGGTTCAAGCCGGTCCATCGAGTAAGTCTCCTGCTGCAGCAGCTGCAGCAGCAGCAGCTGCTGCAGCAGCCCGATCGCTGCTCATCTCCGAGCCCCCCCAGAGCTCTGCAGCAGCAGCAGCTGCTGCTGCTGCTGCTGCAGCTGCAGCAGCTGCTGCTGCAGTTGCTGCTCGTTCGCCGCTCCGTCCCGAAACAACGCCAGCAGCTGCTGCTTTCGCCGCTGCTGCTGCCGCTGCTGCTGCTGCTGCAGCAGCAGCTAGTTGAGGAAAAGCCTGGGCCTCTTGGCCACAAAAGTGGATCTTTTGGCTTTTGGAATTGGCATTATTCTCCGAATTGCTGGCATTTTCAATTTGCTGCTGAGCATTTGCTGCACGTGAGGCCTGCGGCACTCGCTGCCCTTCAGCTGCACTATCCGGATTATCTGCGCGCAAACCCTAAACCCTAAACCCTAAACCCTAAACCCTAGACCCCTCCGCGAACCCCAACAACGCCCCCCCAAACCCTAAACCCTGAACGCTCGAACCCCCCCCCCAAAATGTCCCAAACGCCCCCACCCACGCACTCCCAGCAGCCATCCCCCCCCAAACCCTAAACCCTAAACCCTAAACCCTAAACCCTAAACCCTCGCGGTGTCTTCGAACCGCCCCCAACCGCCCCAAACCCTCGAGAAACCAAAAACCGCGCGGCCCGGGCCGCGCGCCCCCACCCCCACCCCCACCCCCAAACCCCAAACCCCAAACCCTAAACCCTAAACCCTAAACCCTCGCCTGGATGTTGCTGGCGAGGGCCCTGTGCCTCCCCGCCATCTCCGCGAGCACTTGTGCTGCTGCAGCATTTTCGGAAATGTCGCGGACTTCTTTGTACATGTTGTGGCTGCCGGTGCGGCTGTCGTAGCGGAGCCAAACCCCGAAGTTTTTGGGATTAGTCGCTCTTTTAGGGTTTATCTCCACAACCTCCAAAACCTCCCCGTGGGCCCGCTTGATCTTCCGCAGCTGCCGCAGCAAATACCAGAAACGCGACACCGCCAGCACTTCGTTCGCAGCAAACAGCCGCAGCCGGTACGCTGGTGTTGCTGCTGCTGCTGCTGCTGCTGCAGCAGCAGGCCGCTGCCGGCCCACCACCTGGAACTGCCGGATCTGCGCGCAAACCCTAAACCCTAAACCCTAAACCCTCCACCTTCCAGCCCCGCGGGCGCGCCCACGGGCAAACGGCAATCGAAGCGGAAACCGAAACCCTAAACCCTAGCGCCCCACCCCGACCCCGCACACCTGCAAACCCCAAACCCTAAACCCCAAACCCCCGCTAAAGCGGCCCGGCAGGACTTCCCCGCTGCCAGGAAAGTGCGAAAGGGAGAAATTAATTATTTTAATTTATTTTAATTCCATTCGGGGCGGAAGAAAAGAAAATCGAACAGGAAGCAGCAGCGCATGCAGGTTGCTGCTGCTGCTCCCCGCAGCAACCCCGCAGCGGGTTCGGGAGGGAAATTTTGCAGATTCCGACTCGAAATTGGGCAAATGAAGAAATAAAATGATTTAAATTCATTTAATCCCAATTAATGCGACCTACAGGCTGCTGGAGTGTCTTGTCAGCCTTCATTTCCGCGGGGAGAGGTTGGAGTGTACAGACACCAAGGGGAACTGCCGCAACCCGAAAAACCCGAAACGCCCCTTATATTTGTTTCTTTTTCAAATTTAAACTTTCACACCCGCAACAAACACTCCAAATAACCCCCTTTTCCCTTTTTCCCACTCAAAACGCCCCGGAAAACATGCGGAAGCCAGCTGCTGCTGCTGCTGCAGCAGCAGCGGCGGCAGCAGCAGCAGGCTGGGCGGCTGCAGCCAAGCCCCCTGCTCCGGCCCTCAGCTCGCAGAAAATTAAACCTTTTTATTCAATTTATTTTAATATTTTCAATTTAAATTTAATTCAAAGTATTTTTTTGAAATTTAAAAGGGATTTCAACTCCAAGTGCTGCAGAGGAAACGCCAGCGAGCAGCAGCAGTGGGGTGTTCAAGGCGCATGCACAGCCGAGCTTCGCTGCCTAGGGTTTAGCGTTTAGGGTTTAGGGTTTAGGGTTTAGGGTTTAGGGTCTAGCGTCTAGCGAGCACACACTGCCATATAGAGTTTCCTCATAAGTATGTAGGTTAAGGCTCTTCTAATTCAGCTTCGTTATCCGTCCTCAGCTTAAGGGTTTAGGGTTTAGGATTTAGAGTTTAGGGTTTAGGGTTCAGGGTTTAGAGTTTAGGGTTTAGGGTTTAGGGTTTAGGGTCATGATGGTCTCTTGGAAAGCCTCTTAGGCCTCGCAGCAATTTGAAGCTGCATTTGCATGCATTTAGATTTGTTCACATTTATTTATTTCTATTTATATTCACATTTACTTGTATTTATATTTTGTAGATATTTTTATTTTATTTATTTATACTTATTTATATTTATTTATATTGATTTATATTTGTATTTATTTATATTTATTTATATTAATTTATATTAATTTACATTTATTTCGCTTGTTGTTGTCTTCACTTATCTCTTTTTATAGTTATGTTTATTTCTTACTTTTGAGGCTTTAGGGTTTAGGGTTTGAAGCTTAGGGTTTAGGGTTGGGATTTGGAGACAAGTGTCTAAGGTGTAGGATTTAGGGTTTAGAGTTTAGGGTTTAGGGTTTAGGCTTTAGGGTTTGGGAAGACAAATTCATCTTATCGAAGGCAATTCGGGGCCCCTGGAAACTTTAACCATCAATTTAGGGTTTAGGGTTTAAAGCTTATAGTTTGTGATTTAGCGTTTAGCTCTTAGAGTGTAGGGTTTAGGGTTTAGGGTTTAGGGTTTAGGGTTGCTGCAAACAAAAAAGATTAATTTATTTTGCTGCATTCTTTCCGAACAACGAATCAAAACGCTGCATTTGAACAGCGCGGCAGCGGCAGCAGCAGCAACAGCAGCAGCAGCAACAGCAGCAGCAGCAGCAGCAGCAGCATCACCACCACCACCACCACTACCTGTTTAGCGCACCTGCTGCTGCTGCTACTGCTGGCTGCTGCTGCTGCTGCTGCTGGTTCTGCTGTTGTTGTTGCTGCTGCTTCTTTCGCTTCTGCCACTGTTGCCCCTGCTGCTGCCGTTGTCGCGTTTGTTGTTGCTGCTGATGCTGCCGTTGCGTTTACTTTTGCTGCTACTGCTGCTGCTGTTGCTGCTGCTGCTGCTGCTGCTATTGCTGCTGCTGTTGCTGTTGCTGCTGCCGCTGCTGCTGCTGTTGCTGCTGCTGCTGCTGCTGCTGCCGCTTGGAATCACCTGCGTCCTAGCCCCCAAGGCCTATCCAAGGCTGCATGCATTTAAAAAATTAAATTTAAAAACCTTTTAAATCTAATTTGATTATATTTTGCAATTTCTTTTGTTGCCTCTTAACTGCAGCTTTTATAATTGCTCCTTTTAACTCTTTATCCTAGAAAGCAAGCGCTAATACAAGCATCCAGGGTTTAGGGTTTAGGGTTTAGGGTTTCACACTCAGCGATGCTGGTAGCACTGGTTTATTCTTTAGATATAAATAACCCCTTGCTGAATTTAAATCGAAAAGATAAAACATTTAAACATTTAGACAAATTAACTTTCAATTAAATTAATTGAATTAAATAAACTAATTTAATTAACTATTTTATTTTAATTATTGAATTGAATAAATAAGTTAAATTTATTTAATCGTTTAAATTAATTCAATATTCGAAAGTATGTTAATTCCCAAAGTTAAATCATTTGTCCACGATTTAAGCTTTCGAAGGCTGGAATTCTCTTCACTACCTCAAACCCTAAACCCTAAACCCTAAACCCTAAACCTTAAACCCTAAGGCCTAAACCCTAAACCCTAAACCCAAAACCCTAAACCCTGCGGAGCGTATTGAGGGTTTGGAGCTCTTTTGAACTCCGGATAAAACTCTTTTCTGGTTTCATTTAAAAATTTAAATTGCATTTAATTATTTAAATTTAATTAAAAAGAATTTAAAAATTGAAAATCTGAATTTGAATTCCATTTGCAAACGCAGTCACTTTTTGGGGTGTCTCGGCAGCTGCTGCGCCGCCGACAGGCAGCAGCAGCAAACGGAAACCTCTTGAATTGGAGGCGATCTTTGCAAAAGTTGATTTGTTTATCCAATTTTCCTGAATAAAAACAATAATTTGATTTAATTGTTTTTTTTATTCCATTTAAAAGGGTATTTCAGGCGAAAAAGCCGCAGCAGCAGCAGCTCGGCCGCTGCTGCCGCCACGGGGCTGCTGCTCGCGTTGCCGCTTCACTTTGTTCTCCCATTTATTCTTTTAATCCTTTTGTTGTTTTAAATTTTAATTTCTGAATTTAATGCCATTTGAATCTCGTCAAGTCATTTCTCGCGCTATTCAACCCGAAACAAATGCGGGTGCTTCGCTGCAGCAGCAGCAGCAGCAGCGGCAGCACGAGCAGCAGCAGCAGAAACACAAGCAGCGGCAGCAGCAGCAACAACATACACTCCACTGCTGCTGCTGAGCCTCCTGGCGCTGAAAAGGAATGTAACAATGAACGCGCCGGCCTTCTTAGGGACAGCAGCAGCAGCAGCAGCAGAAGCAACAGCAGCAGCAGCAGCAGCCCCCTGCGCTTTTTCACGCATTTGCCACCCCGGAAGAGCCACAGCAGCGACAGCAGCAGCAGCATAAGGGTTTGCTGCTGCTGCTGCTGCTGCTTCTCCCGCGTGACCAGCAAGCTGCTGCGGCACAGCAGCAAGGCGCCCGCGCTACTGCTGCTGCTGGCTGCTGCTGCTGCTGCTGCTGCTGCTGCTACAGCTTGCTTCTTCTTCTCAAATCCAAACAGAGGGGCCCCCTTTGGGGGCCCCCTGGGCCTCCAGTACCCTCAAGGAAATAATTTTCGTTATAAAGGGCCTTCGTGGCGAGAAGACAAGCTCTGCGGTGTACATACACCTCAAATAGACCCCTGTGACCAAACCCTAAACCCTAAACTCTAAACCCTAAACCAGAAACCCTAAACCCTAAACGCTAAGGTCGTTTGGATGACGCTGGGGCCACCATAGCAGCAGGGAGGGCGTGCTGCGTGCGCCGCAGGCTTTGAAGTGCACGGTCTAGGGTTTAGGGTTTAGGGTTTAGGGTTTAGGGTTTGCGTTCAGTCTACGAGGGTTTGCTGAACAAGAACATGTTTGAGGGTTCTTCCAACCGCGTTTCAACTGCTGCGTTTTTCACTTTGTTTGATTTTTATCTCGAGCCCCACAAGTACATTTACGAACAAGAAAAGAGCAGCAGCAGCAGCAGCAGCAGCAGCACTAGCAGCAGCAGCAGCAGCGGCAGCGGTGGCGGCGCCACTAGCAGCAGCAGCAGGAACGGCGACACTAGCACCAGCAGCGCCGGCAGCGGCAGCAGCAGCAGCAGCAGCAGCAGCAGCAGCAGCAAGTGTGGGGAATTGGACTCTGATGAATTTTTCTTGATGGGCGACGAAGACAGATGCCGCTTTTGGATCAGCAGCAGATGCAGCAGCAGCAGCAGCATCAGCAGCAGCAGCAGCAGCAAAAGGGACAATTATTTAAATGATTTAAATTCAAATTTCACTTCAAATGCTTCTTCTGCTTCGGACCTCGGCTATGCTTTTCCTCTTCCCATCCCGAGGAGACCCAGGGCTGCTGCTGCTGCTGCAGCAGCAGCAGCAGCAGCAGAAGAGGGAGATCCAAACAGACCCCCCAGTAAATACCAGGAGCAAACGCAGCAGCAGCAGCAGCAGCAGCAGCAGCACGAGTCTCCCTATCCTTCGATTTCTTCTCTGATTGCTTCTCACTGCGGCTCAAGGCGGAACCACGAAAACAGCAGCAGCAACAGCAGCAGCAGCAGCAGCAGCGGCAGCAGCAGCAGGTATTCGACCACAATAGTAACGGGCCTGTGGGTGCTGCCACCCCCCCCCATTGCGCCCCACAAATCTGCTGCTGCTTATCTGCAGCAGCTGCTGCTGTTTTTGGATTTGTTTCAGCAAGAAGGTCTTGTGATTTTTGCTGATGAATTCTTTTATTCCAAAGCTCAAGAAGCAGTTGCTGCTGCTGCTGCTGCTGCTGCGGACGCAGCAGAAGCAGCAGCAGAGGCCTCGCCAACCCCCCCAACAACAGCAGCAGCAGCAGCAGGGGCCCCGCCAACCGCAGCAGCAGCAGCAGCAGCAGCAGCATATCATTCGCGGGTGTGCGTGGTGCCTCTGGCTTTGTCGCTGCTGCCGCACTACGAGCTGTCTGCTGCTGTGCGGGTAGCAGCAGCAGCAGCAGCAGCAGATCCTCGAGTGATAATAGACTGGTGGAACCATCCTTACTTTAATGAGTTTTACTTCGTGCTGCAGAGCAGCAAAATGGGTCTTGTTGCTGCTGCTGCTGCTGCTGCAGCAGACCCCTACTCCTCCTCCTTCTTCCTGTGGGTGGACCCCCCCCGCAGCCGCTCAGTGTTCCCTGCTGCTGCTGCTGCTGCTGCTGCAGCGCCGCCGCTGCAGCAGCCGCTGCCGCCGCTGCAGCAGCAGCAGCAGCAGCAGCAGGTGTTTGACGGCGAGTTCCTGCTGCAGCAGACGAAGCAGCAGGCGCTGCTGCTGCAGCAAACTCCGCCTCGAATCAAAAAAGGGTTTTGGAGCAGCAGCAGCAGCAGCGGACTTTTTGCTGCTCACCAAATCTACCAGCCCACTATTGCTGGCACTGCCTTTGGGGGCAGCAGCAAAGCCCTCCGCAGGTAATAAATAAACAAATAAATAAATAAATAAATAAATAAATAAATTAATTAATTAATTAATTAATTAATTAATTTGTTTATTTATTCGTTTTAAAGTAAATAACTTAAAAAAATGCTTTTTATTTTGCCAACTGGTGCAGCAGCTTCGAAGCTGCCGCGGCCACGAACTCCACGCGGGTCTTCAGCAGCAAATAAATCAATAAATAATAAATAAATAAATAAATAAATAATAAATAATAAATAAATAATAAATAAATTAACAATAATAATAATAAATAAATAAATAAAAATAGATAAATAAATCAGTATCTACAGGGAACCTGATTGGAACCAGCGCGCCCTTGCTGCTGCTGCTGCATCTGCTGCTGCCGCTGCACCTGCTGCTGCTGCATCTGCTGCTGTTGCTGCTGCTGCTGCTGCTGCTGCAGGGTGTACCCTTTGTGGGACTCGGGGCTGCGGGCCTTGTTGTCTTTGTCTATTTTAAATGACGAGCAGCATTTTTATTCTTTTATTTCTTCTTTTTTTCCTTCTTTCTTTCATGTGGCTCCTTACCACTCCTTCTGCGCCCCACACTTCCTCTGCCTCCCCAGACTCACTGCTGCACTCCGCAGCAGCAGCAGCAGCAGCAGCAGCAGCAGCGGCAGCAGCGGCGGCGGTGGAAGCAGCAGCGGGGGAAGCAGCGGCGGGGGAAGCAGCAGCAGTGGTGGCGGTAGCAGCAGCAGTGGCAGCGGCAGCAGCGAGGCTGCTGCGGAGGCGCAGCAGCAGCAGCAGCAGCAGCTGCAGCAGCAGCAGCAGCAGCAGCAGGGATGGGGATCTGTTGCAGCGGTGGGCTTAATTGGGAGGCTGCTGAATTGGTTTCCTTATTATTCTTATTTTGAAGTTTATGATTTTATTTCTTCTCATTTTAATTTTTTTAATTATTTTAATTTCTTCAGCAGCTACAAAACCACTGCAGCAGAACTCAACAATTATCCTTACCCTCTTAGCTGGGAGCGGCAGATCCCAGAAGCCCTTTACGTCCCCCACAGCAGCAGCAGCAGCAGCGGCAGCAGCAGCAGCAAGGGAGGTGAAGGGGGGGACAGCATGAGGTAGAGCGGGGGAGGCACTGCTGCTGCTGCTGCTGCTGCTGCTGCTGCTCGTGCGGCGGCAGCAGCAGCAGCAACAGCCGCTGTGCCTCAGCAGCAGCACCTGCAGTGATATCAGTGGGAGGGACAGCAGCCGCAGCTGCAGCAGCAAATGCACAGCCGCAGCAGCAGCTGCAGCAGCAAAACTGTTAACTTTTTTGTTTTGTCAATGTTTTATCAATATCATGTGTACATACACCTCAACTACCTTGTCTATTTCGTATTTACATCAAGTACCTTCTAATAGGGTTTAGGGTTAGGAGTTAAGGGTTTAGGGTTTAGGGTTTAGGGTTTAGGGTTTTGGTTTGAGGCTTTAGGGTTTACGGTTGTGTTTGAGGGTTTAGCGTTTAGGGTTTTGGGTTTTCAGATGAAGTTTTTTTTCACAGTGACAACACCTAGGGTTTAGGGTTTAGGGTTTGGGGTTTAGGGTTTAGGGTTTGCAGAGATACTATTCAGGGTTTAGAAAGGGACCTCCAATTTAGGATTTAGGGTTTAGGGTTTAATTGGACATTCTTCGCCTGTTTAATCTTTCGACTGCTGTCATCAAACCCTAAACCCTTCCAGCTGAAACCCTAAACCCTCAGCTCTAAACCGTAAAACCTAAACCCTAAACCCTAAACCCTAAACCCTAGATTCCGAGAGAAACAGGTTTTTGGTGGCTCGAAATAAGTTGAAAAATGCAAATCATTCTTTTACTTGCGACGAAACTAAAATTATGTAATTAGAAACCCTTCAACCTGTTGCGGCTGCTGCTGCTGCTGTTGCTGCTGCTCCTGCTGCTACTGCTACTGCTGCTGCTGCTGCTGCTGCTGCCGCTCGTGGCAATGCTGCTGCTGCTGCTACTATTACTATTGGTGGTGCTTCTTCTGTTGCTGTTGCTGCTGTTGCTGCTGCTGCTGTCGCTGCTACTGCTGCTACTGCTATTGTTTGCGCTGCTGCTGCTGCTGCTGCTGCTGTTGCTGCTGCTGCTGCTGCAACTTGGTTTGAGCACTTCTTTGAGGTGGCCTTCTCCCCATTTCAATTAGAAAAATAAATAAACAAAATAAAAAAAAATAAAATACAACTAAAAAAAACAAAAAAAAAATTAAATGTGCATTTATATTGGCTCAGTGTTCCAGTGTCTGCGGGTTTTCAAGTTAGGAACTGAAAGACGGAAACACACTATTTAGCTCGAGATTTAGGGTTTAGGGTTTAGGGTTTAGGGTTTTAGAGTAGGGAGACGATTACTCATGATTCTAAGTGGCGCAAAGGTGTAGTTAATGATTCATTTTCACAGCTTTGAGAAGCACAATAATAGGGTTTAGGGTTTAGGGTTTAGGCCCTTTGGTTATTCAGAGTTTAGAGTTTGTACCTTAGGGTTTAGGGTTTAGGGTTTGGAGTAGAGAGCAGCCTCGTTAGTTGGACTCTAAACTAAAAAGTTTGGCTGCTACATTTGCTGCAAAGTAGAACCTGAATTTTAGAGTTAATTCCTTTTTGAAAAGGCATTTAAATGGAATTAAAACTTATTTGCTTTCGCTGCTGGCTGCATGCAGCCCCAAAACGACGAAGACAGAGTTATAAAAGAAGTTCAACATTTAAAATTATAAAAGAAGAAAAGCCAATCTTGAAAATCTGAATTGTGTTTGTGGTTTCCTCTGTTCAGAAGTTGTAAAGAAGAAATCGGCAAAGAACTTTCACTCTCCACATCTCTTTTTGATTTCTCCGGCTTTTCGTCGGCGATTATTCATTTAAAACCCTTTATTTCCACTTTATTTCCAATTTAACTCAAAATTTTTCTCCAAAAACTCCCAACTCTTCACTTTCAGGCTTCGTGTGCGTGTTGTGAGGTGTTCGTACACCGCAGACACGCGGAACTGGCTGCCCGTAGCCGGGAAAGTTGGGCGCGATCTTGGGTTAAAAAGTGCAGGTTTTTGCGATTTTGAACTTTGTTTGCACCAATTCGACGAAATTAATTCTCTATTTCTGAAATTTGGTCGATTTCGAGGCGTTTTTGGCTTCTTTTCGGGCTTTTGCAAGTCCGGATCTGGTGACCATGTTGCAGGAAATGCAGCCGGCGCACGCCGGCGGCGATCTGAATTACTTTTCTCCTTCTGCTTCTTCTTCCTCTTCTTATTCTTCTTCTTCTTCGGAATTAAAGCTGGATGAACCCGTGCGAGAAACCATAAAGCGAGATCTGCTGAGCGTGTGGAGCAAAATGACTTACGTGCTGCGGCCCAAGTCCGTGGAGGAGGCCGGGGCGGGGCTGCGGGACTGGGAGCTGTGGGGCCCGCTGCTGCTGTGCATTTGTTTGTCGGTGCTGCTGTATTTCTCGGCGAGCGGGGGCCCCGCAGCAGCAGCAGCAGCAGCAGCAGCAGCGGAGGAGCGGCAGTTCGCTTTCGCCCTGGTGTACGTGTTCCTCGTCTGCGGGGCCTCCGTCGTGACGCTGAATGCGCAGCTGCTGGGAAGTCCCATTTCTTTTTTCCAGAGTCTTTGTGTCTTGGGTTATTGTTTGTTTCCGCTGACAGCAGCAGCAGCAGCAAACTTGCTGCTGCTGCTGGGGGCCCCCCGCGGCTGCCGCCTCTGCACTGTTCTCCCCGCCCTCTTCTGGGCCTTCCGAGTTGCTGCAGCTTTCCTCCAGCCCCTCACAAATCCCAAAAGAAAACTTCTTGCAGTTTATCCAGTTCTTCTTTTCTACGTCACCATTTCCGCCATCATCTGCGCCGTGTGACCAGCTGTACGTACACCCCAAAAGGCGGATCTTCAGGTGTACGTACACCCCAAAAAACGCGAATCTTCAGGTGTACGTAAACCCCAAAAAGCGGATCCTCAGGTGTCCGTACACCCCAAAAAAAGCGGGTATTCAGGTGTGCGTACACCCGAAAAACCTGAATCTTCAGGTCTAAGTACACCCGAAACACATGGCTTTTCAGGTGTATGTACACCCGAAAAACCTGAATCTTCAGGTGTACGTACACCCCACGAGTTGGGTTCTTCAGGTGTACATACACCCGCGGCTCGGGCTCTTCAGGTGTACGTACACCCCAATCTGCAGAAAAGAGCTCTCAGCAAATGCTCCCAGGAACTCGTGGGGTGTACGTACACCCGGAGTTGTTGGGCGCGTTTGGAAGGTTCTTTTTCCCCACTTCTGAGGTGTACGTACACCCGAAACAGCGCCTTCGCCTCGCCGCACCGTTGAGGTGTACGTACACCTCAAACTCAACTGTGCGCTGCAGCGCGGCTGCCGACTCGGCAATTCTTCTTTTCCATTTTTTTGTTTTTTCCAAAACCACTTTTCTTTCTCCTTGCTGCCTCTTGCGGATGGCTCCGCATTGACTAGCTAGCTAGCTAGCTGGCTAGCTAGCTGGCTAGCTAGCTGGCTAGCTAGCTAGCTGGCTAGCTAGCTGGCTAGCTAGCTAGTCGATTCGTCAGCTAGCTAGCTGATTAGCTAGCTAGCTAGCCAGCCAGCTACTCGCCTAGTTAGCTGGCCCGTTAACTAGCCAGTTGGATGGCTACTTAGATGGCTGGCTAGCTAGTTAGCCCGCTCGTTTGTTTGCTAGCTAGCTAGCTAGCTAGCTAGTTGGCTACGTTACTAGGTAGCTAGCTAGCTAGCTAGCTAGTTGGCTACGTTACTAGGTAGCTAGCTAGCTAGCTAGCTAGCTAGCTGCCAAGTTAGTTAGCTAGCCAGTTAGCTAGCTAATTGGCTAGCTAGCTAGCTAGCTAGCTAGCCAACTAACTAATTAGCTAGCTAGAGAGAGGTTGACAGCCAAAAATGATTGGGACTGCGGACAGTGTGCCTGCGTCTACGGAGTTTCTGACCTAAACCCTAAACCCTAATTTAGGGTTTGAGAGTTTGCTCCAGGGAAGAGAGCGCAAGGAGTTGTTTTGCAAAAGCGCTTAACGCGTTTTTGTGAAATTGCAAATCGGGGAAAAGGAGAAAAGTGGAAAACAAGTAAAAGACAAAAGAGACAATGCAAAACAAACAAACAAACAAATAAATAAATAAATAAACAAGTAAATAAATAAATAATTAACTTAACAAGCAATAGACGGGGAGGCACAGCGAGCAACTAAAGACAGACAAATGAAGGAGCAGACATTTTGCCATTTTTGCAAAAACAAAAGAAAGAAAAAGAAAAAAGAAAAAGAAAAAAGAAAAGAGAAAGAAAACAAAAAGAAAATGAAAAGAAAATAAAAAGAAAAAGGGAAGAAGGGGCAAATCTGAGGTGTACGTACACCCCAACTTCAAAAAACAAAATTCGAAGGCGCAAACATCGCCCACGGAAACTTCAGTCTCAGGCTCTGCAAACAAATAAAAGTAAATTAAATTAATTAAATTAATTAAATTAATTAAATTAAATGAATTAAATTGATTGAAATAATTACATTTAATTAGTTTAATTGATTAGTTGAACCGAATTGAAATGAAGACGCAAAGATGGATTTAATACATTTAAAAACTTATTGAATTAAGCAAAGATAGAATAAAAGAAAGAAAAGAACAAAAGTAAGAAGGAAAAAAACAATTAAAATGCAAAAAGGATATATTTAGAATATGAAACAGCAGCAGCAGCAGCAGTAGCAGCAGCAGCAGCAGTAGCACCAGCAGCCCCAGCCCCAGAATCAGCCCCAGCAGCAGCAGCAGCAGCAGCAGCAGTTGCAGCCCCAGAACCAGCCCCAGCCCCAGAATGAGCCCCAGCAGCAGCAGCAGCAGCAGCAGCCGCAGCAGCAGCAGCAGCAGCTGACCTTGTTAAAGATTTTTTCGATGGGGAGTTCGAATTGTTTGCAAAAAGCAACAGTAATTCTGGGGTCCATATAATTGATTTTAGAAGTCCCCAAAGCCACAGTTTTGTTTTCGTCTTTCATTCGCATTTTTAAAAGGTGACTTTGTTTCTTTTTTCTGAAAACAATAAATAAATAAATAAATAAATAAATATATTTATTTATTTATTTATTTATTTGTTTATTTGTTGAATAAAAAGACAGTTTTGTTTTCGTCTTTCATTCGAGTTTTTAAAAGATGATTTTGTTTCTTTTTTCTGTAAACAAGTGAACATTCAATTGCTATTTATTTATTCATTTATTATTTATTTATTTATTATTTATTTTGATTTAATAATAAAAAGAATCCGTTTTGTTTAATTAAACAACTAAAAGAGTTTGTTCGGTTTAAAATAAAAAAGAATAAAAAGAATTTGTTTACTTGAAAATGAAATAATTGAAAAAGAATTATCTCTCTGCATCAGCAAATAAGCAATTTATTTATTTTTAATTTATTTACAACAAAATTGAATTTGTTTATTTAATTTTAAATTGAATGAATAAAAAGGATTTATATAATTTAGAATTAAAAGGGAATAAATAATTAGTTTCATTAAAATGGATAAAGAATAAATAAAATTTATTAAAAAATGAAACAAAGTAGAAAGTTATTTCAATAAATTCCAAAAAAAATTAAAAATTGTTTCAATGAAAATGAAATTAATAATTTTTCAATTTAAAATTAAAAAAGAAAAAACAATTCAAAATTTCCTTTCAAATCCAAACCCTCAGGCTTCCACAGCCACCTCTGAAAAATTAGGATTTAGGGTTTACGAATTAGGGTTTAGGGTTTACGAATTAGGGTTTAGGGTTTAGGGTTTACTCAATTTGTTGGATCTTCTTCGCGACGGCATCTCCTTTCATTCCCTCCTTAACAATGGACTTCCTCGGCTCGCCCTTGAGGCTCTGCACACAAATTAGGGTTTAGGGTTTGAGGGTTTAGGGTTTGAGGGTTTAGGGTTTGAGGAGGCTTGAGGGTTTAGGGGAGGCTTGAGGGTTTAGGGTTTGAGCGTTTAGGCCCTCGGGGTTGAAAGGGTATAGGGTTTAGGGTTTACTGCGGGTTTAGGTTTTGCCCTGTGGAGGTTTGGCAGGTCGCTAGGGTTTAGGGTTTAGGGTTTAGGGTTTGTGTTGGGGGGCTTTGAGAGCTCGCCAGAAAGCGGGGTTTGGACTGCGAGGGTTCGCTAGGGTTTAGGGTTTAGGGTTTAGGGGTTGCACCTTGAAATCGGACTTGAATTTGAAGGGTTTGTGGTTTTGTTTGCTGTTTAAAAACGAAAAGTATTCTTTTAATTCTTTCAAATCTTCTTCAATTGCTTCCAACTGGTGCTGCAGCCGCGCCATCGAAGCTGCGTGCTGCTTCGGCACAGAGCGTTGGTGGTTGCACAGAATGGCCACAGCTCTGCAAATAAATAAATAAATAAATAAATAAATTAATAAATAAATAAATAAATAAATAAATAAAATAAATAAATAAATAAATAAATCGTTTTATTTGGCTACTTGGCTTGGGGCGCGGCGCGGCGAGAAACGGCGTCTTGCTGCAGCAGCATAACCCTGCTGCAGCTGCAGCGCGAAATATTAGGGTTTAGGGTTTAGGGTTTAGGGTTTGGGCGTGCCTGTTGGCGTCGTTGTAGAACTGCACGAGCTGGTTCACATCTGACAAATCCACGTCGAGGATTTCCTCATTAGGGTTTTCATCTTTTGTTTTTATTTTCGAAAGCGGCAAGTCATCTGCGTCAGTTGCTGCTGCTGCTGCTGCTGCTGCTGCTGCTGTTGCTGCTGCTGCTGCAGCAGCAGCAGGCTCTTCCTTCACCTTCTTCGCCTTCGCCTTCCCCGCCTTCTTCAAACCCTCGCGCTCAACTTCCTCCTTGAATTTTCGCAGAGTTGGCCTGACCACAAACCCTAAACCCTAAACCCTAAACCCTAAACCCTAAACCCTGAAGTTCCTAATATACCGCGCCAAACCCCAGCGACTCAAGTCTCTTCAGAGGCGCCCTTCTCTTGTGTTCTCTTCAGCACGGAGGGACCTTCCCCGCAGAGTTGAGGGTTTAGGGTTTAGGGTTTAGGGTTTACTGGAGCTTTTGGAGTTCTTGCTGCAGAGTAATGCTCGCATTATAAGTCCTAAACATCTTCGCGCTTAGCCCCGGCATGAGTTGTTTTAAATGGTTGTTTAAAGAAGTGCTCTGCAAAATAAAACACCAAAAAAGGGTTTAGGGTTTAGGGTTCGGGCTAGGGTTTTGGTGTAGATGTCTTTAAATGGCTGTTTAAAGAAGTGCTCTGCAACATAAAACACCAAAAAAGGGTTTAGGGTTTAGGGTTCGGGCTAGGGTTTTGGCTTTGCTGCCTGTAAATGGTTGTTTAAAGAAGTGCTCTGCAACATTAAACACCAAACGAGGGTTTAGGGTTGAGGGTTCGGGCTAGGGTTTTGGTTTAGCTGTCTTTAAATGGTTGTTTAAAGAAGTGCTTTGCAAAATAAAACCAAAAAAGGGTTTAGGGTTTAGGGTTCGAGCTAGGGTTTCGGTTTGGCTGGCCTCCGTTGGTTCTTTAAAGAAGCACTCTGCGAAGTAAAACGCCAAAAAGGGGTTTAGGGTTTGAAGAATTGATTTTTAGGGTTTAGGGTTTAGGGTTTAGGTGACTTTGAGCTCAACTTCGGCGTTATTTTCATTTTTTTGGATGAAATTAAATAAATAATTTGAAATAAATGAGTAAATTAAAATTAAAAACTAAATTATATTAAATTAAATCAAATTAAATTAAATTACATTAAATTAAGTTAAAAATATTTAACATACATTTATTGAATCAAAAACATCTTCTTCTGGCTTTTTCCCTCGGCAAAATTCCCGCAAGTTTTTGAAGGCTTGAGAGTCTATCTGAAGCAAATAAATAAAAAAATAAAATAAATGAATAAATCAAAATAAATAAATAAATAAATAAATAAATAAATAAATAATTAATTACTTTAAATAGACAAATAAACATGATACATCGTACGCAGCAGCAGCAAGCAGCAACAAGTAGCAGCAAATAGCAGCGAAGCAGCAGCAAACAGCAATAAACAGCAGCAGCAACGAACAGCAGCAAAAACAAACAGCAGCAGCAGCAGCAAACAGCAGCAAACAGCAGCAGCAAATAGCAGCAAACAGCAACAAACAGCAACAAATCGCAACAAACAGCAACAAATTGCAACAAACAGCAGCAGCAGCAGCAGCAGCAGCAGCAGCAGACTTTGACAGTGTTGAAGTAGCGAATGGAGTCTTTTCCCAAAAAGTCGAGAGTGACTTCTTCTGTCTCCAAATTAAACTTCGCATGCTCCACGCGCAAGCTGCAGCAGCCCACTGTGTCCGCCTCCTCGTCTGCACGCAAACCCTAAACCCTAAACCCTAAACCCTAAACGCTAAACCCTAAACCCCCAGGCTAGCTGCAGCAGCCACGGTGTCCAACTGCTCCGCTGCACGCAAACCCTAGACCCTAAACCCTAAACCCTAATCCACCACCAACACCAACATCATCAACACCACCACCACCACCACCACCACCATCAGCAGCAGCAGCAGCAGCAGCAGCAACAGCAGCAGCAGCAGCAACAGTAGCAGCAGCAGCAGCAGCAGCACTTTCACTTGCCAGTATCCTTCTCTCCCCCCACTCTCAATGCCAGGAAGTCAATGAGACACCATCACACTAGCAGCAGCAGCAGCAGCACCACTAATATCCGCAGCAGCAGCACCACTAATATCCGCAGCAGCAGCACGCAACTACCACCACCACCACCACCATCAGCAGCAGCAGCAGCAGCAGCAGCAGCAGCGGCACTTGCCAGTATCCTTCTCGCCCCCCACTCTCAAGGCGAGGAAGTCAATGAGGTAAGTGGCAGTTCCCAACAAACCAGCAGCAGCAGCAGCAGCAGCACTAATACGAGCAGCAGCAAGACGCAACTACCAGCAGCAGCAGCAGCAGCAGCAGCAGCAGCAGCAGCAGCAGCAGTTACCGGTATCCTTCTCGCCTCCCACTCTCAAGGCGAGGAAGTCAATGAGGTAAGTGGCAGTTCCCAACTGCCTCTCGAGAAGATCTGGACTTTTCATTTTTGCAAAATAGTCTTTTCGAATTTTGGAAACGAAATGTTTCAGTCTTCGCGCCTTTTCGTACTTGAGAAAGTCTTGCTGGCCTTTGAAGCCGGACTGCGCGGCGAGGTACATGTACTTGACCTAAATAAAATAAATAAATAAAACAAAACAAATAAAATAAATAAAATAAATAATAAATAATAAATAATAAATAATAATAAAAAGTAATTGGTGATTAAATTGACTTGTTTGTTTGTTAGATGCGAATAGCTGCAGGGCGGTTTGTTTGGGGGGCTGCGGCGCCGGGTGCGGGCTAGGGTTTGCGAGGGTTTTGCGAGGGTTTTGCGAGGGTTTTGCGAGGGTTTTGCGAGGGTTTTGAGGGGGGTTAGCTGCAGGGTTTGCGGGGGGCGCGAGGGTTTAGGGTTGGGGAGAAAGTTTGGGGTTTGCGGCCTAGTTGGGGCGAAACTCGGCTTGGAGCAGGGTTTGCTGAAACCCTAAATTAGGGTTTTGCAACCTCCTCGGCAACCACCTAAACCCTAAACCCTAACTCAGCTCTAATTCGACGCCTATCGGGGGTCTACGTGGAGCTCATTCAAGCCCTGAATCAGGGCTTCTACTGAAACCCTAAGTTAGGGTTTAGTACCTGATCATTGATGGAATCTCGGTAAAACGCCAGCCAAGTCACTTTGCCCAAATCTCGCCAACAGTGGCCTAAACCCTAAACCCTAAACCCTAAACCCTAAACCTTCCTCCTGGCGTTAATATGAGGCCTATCGGGGGTCTACGTGGAGCTCATTCAAGCCCTGAATCAGGGCTTCTACTGAAACCCTAAGTTAGGGTTTAGTACCTGATCATTGATGGAATCTCGGTAAAACGCCAGCCAAGTCACTTTGCCCAAATCTCGCCAACAGTGGCCTAAACCCTAAACCCTAAACCCTAAACCCTAAACCTTCCTCCTGGCGTTAATATGAGGCCTATCGGGGGTCTACGTGGAGCTCATTCAAGCCCTGAATCAGGGCTTCTACTGAAACCCTAAGTTAGGGTTTAGTACCTGATCATTGATGGAATCTCGGTAAAACGCCAGCCAAGTCACTTTGCCCAAATCTCGCCAACAGTGGCCTAAACCCTAAACCCTAAACCCTAAACCCTAAACCTTCCTCCTGGCGTTAATATGAGGCCTATCGGGGGTCTACGTGGAGCTCATTCAAGCCCTGAATCAGGGCTTCTACTGAAACCCTAAGTTAGGGTTTAGTACCTGATCATTGATGGAATCTCGGTAAAACGCCAGCCAAGTCACTTTGCTGTCGTGCGCCAAATCTCGCCAACAGTGGCCCGGCATATCTGCTGCAACAGGAACGGGGGCTTCTTCGCCGAGGTTCAGTATCACGTCTTCAGGGAATATCCTTCGCTGCACAAACCCTAAACCCTAAACCCTAAACCCTAAACCCTAAACCCCCAGCCGTAAACCCTAAACGATAGGCCCAAACCCAGTTACGCCACACACACGGTGGAAGCGACGGTTCAAACTACCTCTTGTCCTGCAAACAACCCTAAACCCTAAACCCTAATCCCTAGACCCGAAACCCTAAACCCTAAACCCTAGACCCGAAACCCTATACCCTAAACCCTAGACCCCAAACCCCAAACCCTGAAGTGAGACGTTCACAAGAAGCCCGCGCAGCGCTTCAGACGCAGAAAGCCCACACAACCCACCCCGACCCCTCAAAACCCCACACCCTAAACCCTAAACCCTAGACCCTAAACCCTAAACCCTCGTACCTTGAGCATGCCCTGTTTCGGGTGTTCGCCGCGGCCCCTGAAAAGGCCCGGAGGTTCGACTCTGCAGTTTCCGACTTTTTCCCTCAGCCAGTCCACAAGGGCAAATGCAAAAGGAGCAGCTTCTGCATCTTTTTGAGCTTTCAGCGCCTAAACACAAACCCTAAACCCTAAACCCTAAACCCTAAACCCTCGCCCACACACACGCCGCGCGCCCAAGGGAGCGAGCACGAAAAATGCTGCAGAACAAGCCTCGAACGAAACACAACGGCCACCTAATAGCCCCAAACCCTAAACCCTAAACCCTAAACTCTAAACCCTAAACCCTAGTAAACCCTCGTAAACCCTAAACCCTAAACCCTACTTCCTTTTCCTCCTTTGACATGTTTTTCTTGGCTTCCTTTTGAGCGTCTAGGTGCTGCTTGATGTTTGAGAAGTCGCAGGCTTCGAAGCCTGCTGCGTCGGGTGCTGTTGCTGCTGCTGCTGCTGCTGCTGCTGCTGCTGCTGCTGCCGCTGCTGCTGCTGCTGCTGCTGCTGCTGCTGCTGCTGCTGCTGCTGCTGCTGCTGCTGTGGGGCGCAGGGCAACGTGAAGATCGCCTCCAGCAGGCTGCACATCGGGGAGTGCTTCGAAGTCCCGGAGCACTTGGGGACTTTCGCGCTGCGGCGTTCTGGCTCGCTGCACTTCCGGCAGCCGCAGGAAGAAGCTGCGGAGGAGGCTGAGCAGCAGCAGCAGCAGCAGCAGCACAGCAGCAGCAGCAGCAGCGGCGCCGGAGGCGCCGGCGCAGAAGCAGGCGGCAAAGCCAGAGCCCAGAAGAACCACAAGGCCGCTGCGCAGGTCCGCACCAGACACCAAACAAGGGTTTAGGGTTTCGGGTTTAGGGTTTGGGGTTTGGGGTTTGGGGTTTGGGAAGCGGGGTCCTGGGGATGGGTTTTTAGCCACAATAGAGAGACAAAGGCTCCAGGGTTTAGGGTTTAGTGAGAGCACGCGTTGCACGGGGTCTAGGCCAAGGGTTTAGGGTTTAGGGTTTAGGATTTAGGGTTTAGGGTTTGGGGTGTTTGCTGCAGTCTAAGGCTTTCGGCGGGGCGGAGAAGAACGGAAATGCTGCGCTGGCGGAGGAGGCGCCCATAGACGCATCTACAACGGGCTCTAGTGTACTTCAGCTGCTGCTGCTGCTGCTGC